ACAAATTATTTTTAAAAAATAAATAATAAATAAAGTAAAAGTATTTTTTTGCCTATATTGTTTTAAAAAAATTATAAAAATTTCCAATGCTCTGTATCTTAAATTAAATAAGACTTTTAGAAAATGGCATATATTATAAATAGGATGAAATATATTTTATCATATATAATTATTGTCAAACTCTCAAATTAATTCTCTAACTTTATCATTTTTACATTTTTATTTTACAAAATTATGTCACCTCAATCATAAACTCAAATTTTATATAAACTCCATTAACTCTTGAGTTCACCATTTAATTTTATCATTTTTATATTTTTAACTTACAATTCGTGTCAGCTCGCTCATAAACTTAGATTAGATGTCACTTTGATTAAACTCACTAAACTTGTGTACTTTTTACCAAATTGAGCGAGTCAAGTATATGCTGTGCAAAACTTGGTCATAGAAGTAGTAGGGCTCACTTTAAAGAAAAATAAAATTCAAAAAGTAAAAACTAATATTAATAGAAAGCAAGAAATAATAAAAATAGGTTACCCTATTTTAAAATTTTTACATTGAGTGTGTTAATTTATCCATATGAATGAATTTAATTTCAATGATCTGTATTTATAGTATATTTAAATCAAATTGTGATCATATTTTATAGTTTAATTATTTAATTATATAACTTCAAAAGCTATTTATTAACAAATGTAAGTTTTTACGAGTTTATGATATGGGTTTATATTCTTATTATGAGTCTACTTAAACATGTAAATTTGACAATCTTATCCAAAAAAAAAAAAAAACGCACACACGCACAATGCCATTTAGAGCTAGTTCATATATGAGGAATAGAGTAAAATGTAGGGTAATGATAAAGTGTTTACATTATTCTAATACAATAACAAATTTATATATATATATATATATACACACACATCTCTCTTTATTATGCATATTGTTTTATGGCAAGTGATCACTCAGGCTATGCATTTGTGCCCTACAAGTTGCCAAAATGTGGTCCTAAGGTGGTACTATATGTCATACGATTTCGAGATTCAAACTTCAAAAAATCGATTTACAAGTTAAATTTTATGCTCTGAGGGGACATGAAAAAAGGAAAAGATGATTCTCTCCAATTGCAAAAAAGTTTGGGACCAGATGAAAAGTTTTTTTTTCTCTCTTAAATTTGGATAAAAGATGAGAAGTTGATGGATCACCAAAACGTGCCCTTTTACCTAGACTCCCAGAGAGATCAACCCAAGTCCCGCGAGACGATATACATGAGAGTAGTGCTCGCCAAACAATGTTGCGTGCCACTTGTAATATTGTGTACTCGTACTTGAGCCAAGTTAATTACCACACTGCTTTCTGTCAAAATTCACCGGCATAAATAATTCAGGGACTCCTAATAAAATATGACACATCTTCTACTCTTAATGTTCTTCATTACTTGGCCAATATTTTAAGCATCACCTTCCATGGAAGGCGGCCGCTGTTTGCGTTGCCATTGTCTCAAGCTTCCGTGCGGGATTCTCTCGTACACCTGTGACCAAGAAGGCAACCACCATCACACATCTCTTTAATGTTATTGCTGGAAAGTTATAACATTATATCAAAGCAAAAAAAAGAAAAAAAGAAAAAAAGAAACATACATACATACATATATAAAATGATCATTGACAAAACTATTTTTTAAAACACAATATATTTAACTAATGAAAACCATAACTACAAACCTTTGTTGTTATAATTTGTCAATATAATCCATAACAGCTGTCATCAATAGCCACACACCATCTGTTGTTGCCATTTGCCATTGTTACTACTAGCTACTTATCACTGGCCCTTGTCAACTAACCATCACATGCTATTAATGTCAGCCATTACTAGCTATCACTGATAATCATTTTAGCCATTATCATTGATTCTTGCCGTCAGCCAATAAGAAACCATCACTATGAGTAGATATTTTTAAATTTTGAAATTGTTTGTAAATTAACACAATCCAATGGATTTTTTTTAAAAAAAGTATTTTTAATGAAATCATTTATAAAATAGTTTTTTTAAAATAAGAAATCTCACTCACTCCTAATAGCCGCAAATCTAACCCCGGTGAAGTGAATTGTAGGATTTTTCTTAGTCTTTCTTAAGTTAAAAAAAAAAAAAAAAGGAACCAAAAAACATCACTCCTAATAAAAAGTATTGCACATACGGGAACTTGAACAATGACTCAATTGACAAGGATGAATTGTTTCAATACAAAAGACTTTTGATTTCCACTAACCGATGCCCCCTTCCTTAAGGTATCGCATTGATTGCCCTACAAATTTACCGACAGATAATTTGCCCTAGAGATACTTTTGAAGCATCCTTAATGGCAAGTCCCACTTGCATGGAATGCAAGGTAGTAGAAGATATCAGTGAATAAGTGATAAATACTTCCCCTGTTTATATATATATATATATATATATAACTATATCAGACAGTGTAAAAAAATTAATTAACCAAAATAACTACATCTGAAAATAAAAAAATTAAATTAAAATCTCGTATGTTAATTAATATAAACATGCATTAATTATTTCTATTAATGTAAAATATGAGATGATTTAAGAAATGTACAATAAATACTTATTAAAATATATGATTTTATTTATATAAAATAATAATAATAATAATAATCTCTCGTGAGGAGTACTTCAATGACATATAGTCATGTGATATCAGAAATCGCGTGAGATGCACGCTTCCATAATGACTACAATTTGTTGGAATTAGAAAAGGAGAAAACATAATTTGTTGCAATAATGAATTACAAGAAAGTAAAAATAATTTTCACAAGTCAAAAATTAGTAATTACCCCATTCATCTAACCCATTTTAATTTTTAGATTCTAAATATGGCGAGACTTCATTTTTTTTTATTACAGGAAAAATGAACTTTTTCAAGTAGGAGTTTAATTTTATATATCGTTCTTTTTTTTTTTTTGGTCAATATTTTGCCTCCACTTAAGGAAGTCATATGACCCCAATTAACTTTGAAACTTCCATGGCAAGCTGTTGCACAAAGCGTGGGCTTCATGTGAGTGTAGCCCAATAGGGTCTTGGTAAGGCCCCAAAATCCAAAAAAATGCAAGCAAATATATTTTCTAATTTCTTTTTTAGGTGGAAGATTCTTTATTAAAAGAATAATGATTAGGCTGAATAAAAATTAAAAAAATAAGTTATAAATATTAATTCAAGTAATTATAAGAGATATTTTAATAATTTCAATTTTTTTTTAAAAAAAAGTGGGGTTATAAAGTTTTATTAAAGGTGATATATAAATTTAAAGAATAAAGCAATAAGTTAAAAATATTTTAACTCCAATTTTATATTTTTGAAAAAAATAAACTCATTAGAATTCCCTTTTCCTTTCTCCCACCAAACAACCAAATAGACTCTAAGTTTTAAATGTAACTCCTTGCTATAACTAAAATTTCTATTTACAATTATTATGAACAGTAAATTGGCTGAATGATTATGAAAAATACAGCTTTTATAAATTATAAATGAGGTTTTTGAATATTTTAGAATATAATTTATTCACAAAACTAATTAGAGGTAATTTTTTTATCCGCGAAACAAATATATTATTAAAATGCTTTACATAAATTGATTAACGAATATATCTCCTATAACTAATTAAATAATTTTAATATTTAACTAACTAAATCAAATCCCTGCACACATGTCTATTATATATCTCTCCCTTTCACGATTGTTTCTTTCCTTTCTTGGTAGGTAAGGAAATTAAGGTAATATTTACATATTACTTTTTTGTCATCCTGACAAGTGAATTCTTTCGTAAGAGACATTTTAATATGAGTAGTTTAATTTTGTACTTTTGCAAACGAGTCTCGATACTAGGCTTCCTTACATGAAGATGAATGTAAATTTAGAAATTTCATTGTAGAGAGACAGATAATAATTTTTTTCGTGTTTCCAATATATGAATTGTATATCATTGATAAACCATATTAATGAAGACTTATCAATACCATTTAATTTTGTAGAGGATGCTTAATCTCATCATTTTTTTTTGAAAGAAGGTCTAATAAAGCTTTCTTCTATCTTTGAGTATTTGAAAGAAAATTTTCATCCAAAAAAAAATATTTGAAAGAAAGTTGTATTATTTGCAAAGAAGGTAATTTTGTCATATAAAACTTGACTAAATATTAAAATGGCCATAATGTAAAACATAACAAATATTAGACAATTTATTAGAATTGGTTCTATAAAATAAACTATATTAGCACAAGCCCCTTATATGAATTAATTTTTGTCATTTATTTTTAAAAGAGTTTCTTGAGTACTTAAATATCATTAGATAAATAATAAATTTCTGGTAAAAAAAAATATCATTAGATAAATTAGATAAATCTTTTAAATTTGATATTTCTTTCATTTTAAATTATAAGACACTTTTAAAAAAGATTCAATATTCTCAAATATAAAATACTTTAATAATAATAAGGTTTTATTGATGATATATTTTCAATACTTTCCTTTCTTTGCATTCTCTATTTTTAATGTTTCTTCATCAATAGAGTATTAAATAAAGAGCATTTTTAAAAATTTATATTTTTATTTTAAAAAAATAAATTATAAAATGTATTTAATGTGTTTTATTAATATATGAGATTTTGTCTGAAAATATCATATAATTTAAAATGGTTGGAGTATTATTTTTGCTTTGCAAATCCATTTGCTCATACTTGGCTTTGCGCATTTTCTCCTTTATTTTTTCTTTGATCACTTATTATATTTAATCTTTATATCTCATATTGCTATTGATGACTTTAAGTAACAAAAAAGAAATTGATATTGATAACAATTATTTATATTTATTGGAGATTTTTTTTGGGTAAAAAGTTGAAAAAATTCATATTATATTAAAAAAATTACATTACATAATATAATATATATACATAACATAAATCAGATATCGAATCCATCCTCAATCTGGGCACCTTTATTAAAACCTGGGGTAGTTGGGTTGGGCTTGCATCATATTTCTTAGACGCTGCATTGCTCCGCCGCTTCTTTCTCAGTATGGCGAAAAACAGGAACAAGAAAAAGAGGAACGATGCCGTCTCTATGGATATCAGCGAGCCATCCGCTGGGGAAATCCCTCAAGGTACTTTCTGCAGCAACTTTGGCAGAACCGTGCTCTTTTTGATCTGGGGTTTAAAGTTATGAACAGAAAATAAGTAAATCGGATCTTTAATTGTTCATTTAATCGCTTCTTACTTCCTGTTCTGATTACTAAATTTTGAGTGGTATTGATTTGATTGCCTTGTAAACCCTTCCTGTTTTATATAGAGCCACCATATCTGTTTTCTTGTGGGAGTTTGTTTTCCTCGCGTGTTAAAACTTGGGATTTTTTAACGTGCAGCAATGGAGACATCGGAGCCCGCGGCTCAAGGTTCTGGCGCCCCCAGTATGTAAGTATCGTATTTCTGCGTTGTCATTGGAGACCCTGAAGTTTATCGGTCTCGTGGAGGGGTTAATTAGTATCTAGTTTCCAACGTTTCGGTTTTGTGAAAGTAATAATTGTTTCCAAAAGTTTGCGAATACTGTTAATTCAGCATGGTTTCTCTAAATTTGTGTTCAACCATGCTTAAGGCTGCCGTTTCATTGCATTGAGGATGAACCATTAATGCATTATTTTCAAAATAAAGGTGCCCCATTAATCTGGGCACTACAATGGTTATTAAACCAATGTTTGGCTAGTATAAAACTTTTTCGACCAATGGTTGTTTTTCAGGCTGTGAATTTGTGGAAGAAGTTGTTACTTGAGCTTAAAGGAAGGAGGCATAGAGTAGAATAAAGGGAGAGGCAACAGAAAGCTATTGATGTTATTGTGATGTTTTATGTCCCTTGTTTCAAACATCTTTTGTTAAAATGCAAATAATGATCTTCTTAGGTTTAAATATGATGACAAAAAGGAAAGAAAGGTGTATCATATTTTTATAACAAACTTTAACTTTAAATGTTATTAATTTTATGCAAACTTGCAAGCTTTGGATTTCAATAAACAATTGGGAAAATTAATCATTTGATCCTTATAGTTTTGATTCAATTGTAATTCAGTCCCTCAACTTTGACTTCTTATAACTCAATCCCTGAAGTTTTGACTCGATTATTGTAAATTAGTTCTTGAACTTTACCTTTTCAACTTCTTAAATATTGGTCCCTAAATTTTAAAAAATAAAATTATAAAGATTAAAAATATTTTAAACTTTTAATATTTATAATATTTATAAAGATTAAAGAGTTTAATAATTTAAAATATTTTGAATTTTTATAATTTTATTTTTTAAAATATAGGGCCCAATATTTAAGAAGTTGAAACTTCAGGGACTAAATTGCAAGAGGCAAAGTTAGGGATTAATTTAGTCAAAACTTTAAGGACAAAGTTATAACGAGTCAAAGTTTAGAGATTGAGTTACAACTAAGTCAAAATTACGAGCATTAAATGATTAATTTTCTCTAAACAATTACAAGGAATGTAGACACTTGATGGTGGGCTTTGGGGAATTCCTTTTCATTTTCCCTCTCAATTCTTCCTAGAATAAGTGAGCACACTGATATATATATATATATATATATTATATTTTCCCTTTTGGAACCAATTGAAAATTCTTCACAAGAACTTGCTTTTACTGATTGACTTGCCAGTTTTGACTGTTCATGTTCATGTTCTTGTATTTCTTAGGGAACATTTGGCAAGCGATTTTAGGGAAAATAGCTTTTTTGGTGTGCATATTTGTTATATGTCAACTCTAGAGGACCTCTTTCCTGCTCGCTTCATTTCTTTGTGTGGGATGATTTAGTGTATTCAGACTTGAATCATTTTTACTTTCTTTTCTGACGGTGGATTCATTTCAGTTTATTGCTTTCCCTCATGTATGAAACTTTGTAGTCTGTTTTGTGCAAGATATTTATGCTTTTATCTTCTTGGTTGGAGACATCTAATGTTGAAAAGCTCTAATAATTTAGGCCCCTCAAATTTGCAATGACACAGGTGTGGGCCACATGTTTGATGCCCAATGCCTTATATTCTTTGCGCATAATTAGGATTTCTTCAGGATTCATGTTTTTAATATTTACTTATTTATTATGTTGCTTGTGGTGCTTGACAATCAGGTTTTGGTACTGATTGATGGGTACTTAAGAGGGAAGGGGACTATTGAGTTGGTTGATCAACCTACTTAAATATCCTTTGGAGCATCCCGTGTTATTCAATGTGGAACATAGGCATCCCGTGCTACCTCCTTTCCTTTAATTAAGTGTCTCAGACTATCTTAGTCTACACCAGATTGATCTTTTCTCCAATTCCTAGCCCACCCAGTCACTCACTGCCAGTGATTGCCCATAGAAAATGCAGTTTTGCTTGACTGAAGAGTGTGTTTGTTGTTTGTTAATGTATCTGGGCAATGAGGAGAGCAAAGGGAATGCAGAAGAGTGAAAAGTGTTCGCGATTTGGGACATTTTTTGGTGGCTAGGAATTGAGCTGGGTTGGGCTTACGGTTAAGTATTAGGCAAACTCATGAAATCGTGGAAGTTCAGGCAAGTTTGGTAGAATCAGATTTTGGCAATGTTCTGGCTGGTTTTCCATTTCCGTTGATGAGTGAACTGCAATTTTAACAGCAATGGCTCCGCATCTGCTTTATGCCCCTGCTACTTGACAGTCCATATATCTTTCATGTCTTGAATATTATTTTGTAAATTTTATGCTTGAATCTCCATTATACATCACTCAAATGTTAACATCACTCGTATCAGAGTCTAAGTACATTTTGTGTCCTTTTCTTTTGTTGCTGTTCTCAAATTTTTTCACTTGGTTTTGGGCCTCCTCTCATTTTGGGCGTCTTCTGAAACAGGAAGATTAAGAAAGGTCGGCCTTTGAAGAGATCAAAAAATGTCCGAAAGATGAAAGCAATAGAAAAAGCTATATCTGCAAGTGAGAAGACCGCTCAGAAAATATCAAAGAACCAAAGTAAAAAATTAAGAGTTCAATCTGCCAAAGTGCTGTATGATTGAATAGCTGGATTGGTTGGCATCATCATTTCGAAAAGTTTCATTTGTTTTTGGGTTCAATCTGAATGTATTCATGCTGTATCAATATATAGTTTAATACTAATCTAAGGTTAAGTTTTGGGCATTGGAGTGCCATTTTATTGCATCATCTTATAATAATTTTTGGGGAAAATTCTTTTTGTTTTATCAAATTTTACATTTAATCCCTGTAATATAGGGATCGAAAACATAGAAAATATAAGAGTTTGAGTAACAAACATTATTTAATCTTATTGAAAACATTGAAAAAAATTACTGGAATGAAATAGGGATCGATGATTTTATTTTTTCATAATTTTTATGCAGTGTTTGTTAAAGATATTTTGCTGTTACTGTACTCCTTTCTTCAAAATTGTAGAGGAAATCGACTCCGTTTTGGGAAATTTTCAAATGAACGAGAATAAATGAGCATTAGAAAAATGAAATAATTATATTCAAGATGTTATGAACAAGAGTTATAAGTAGATTTTACCCATTTATTGATTATTGAATGAGATTAATAATAATGTGGCGGAAAAAATTTAAGTGAAGAACTCAAAATTTAAATCAATGATTAAAAAACTGAATCAGACTTTATGACTGTCGGCCGATTTGAATTTTGGCTCAATTAGCATATAAAAATTATTTTGAAAGTTGAATCAGGTTAGGCTATTTTGAACCAACAATTAGATTAGAAATCGAGGTCAACTTGAAAATCAAACCCAATTTTTAAAAACGAGACTGTTCAATTTTTTTATCAATTTTTTTTAGAAAATGACCAATTTATTTAATTATTTGATGTTATATTGTATTATGTAGCTTATTAAGTCATAATAAATTTAAAATATTTGATTTTATTTTTAAGTTAATTAGTAATTTTATATTTATTTCTTATATTTAGATTATTACATGCATATGTAATTTTTTTAATTTAATTATTATGTCACCGATTTAATCATTGGTCAAACTTGATTAAATTATGTGAATCGTGAACTGCTAACCTCCTTAATTTAATATTCAATTCAGTTTTAAAAATATTGATTCAAATACAAATAGTAGCAATTTTCAAGTTGAACAATACTAGTGTTTGGATCAATTGATTTAAATTTGAAGTTTAAATTTGAAATCTTACATTTTAAACCTATATATTTAAAATTGTTTATTTGGATAGCCAAAAAAAATCCAAATGCAAAGAGAGATGAGTTGAGACTTGAGAAAAAAATAAAAAATTATAAATGATCGAGTTTATCTTCATTTTTTTATCAACAAGAAATGTGAAAAAAAAAAGAGATTCATAAAAGTATTAATATAGTAAAACCATGAAGAGAGTGAAATGTTTAAAGTGATTAGAATTTTAAATGATTATATATACAAGGAATTTGAAATCACAAAGAAATTATAATAAAAAATTAATTTAGTTTTGAATTAATTTAAATTCACAAATTTTTATATATCCAAATAAAAAATTTGGTCTAGATCTAAATTTAAATTTAAATTCATATCCATTCAAAGGCACCCTAATATTCTATGACATGCAATGAAGCCACGAAATAATAAAAAAACTATTTTTGCATGAGTTTTATATTATTTTAATTTTAATAATTTGATGTATTTGATTTTTTTTTTTTTTGCAATAGATTTGCTCATTTTAATTTTTTGAGTGATGATTCTCCATCTAATAATTAAAAAATCTTAGCTGAGTGTCGGAATCTTAAGTTCTTTTTATATTATTTTAGAAACGTTTGGTCCAAAACTTACAAAATGCAGGTTTTTAAATTATTTTCATTAATTAAAAAGATTGTAAATTTTATAAAATTATTTTTTAATATTTAAAATTTTCAGGATAATATTTTTCTTGTGATGGCACGGTATCGCGAAAGCGCCAGTGCGCAAGTCGTTTAGAAGCTTGCTCGCCGATATTGCCGAGCGTGAAGTTGCGGCCCGCACCGTATTCTATCTTCTGTCCCCCTATTCGTTACGTAATTAAATATCTAGCGGCGTCATCTGACGTGCGCTTCGAGGAACCGCTGGTATAAATCAAAGCACTTCATTCTACTTACAACCATACCGAAATTGACGTCTCTCTTCACAGTCCCCGTTTGGTCGCTGAGTAACGCTAGGGGAAGTCGGAGGGAGTGGGAGTGAAAATGTAAGAATTATTTTTGAAGCGTGTAATCATACCGTATTTACTTCACAGCACTGAGCTTGAATTAGCTCCGAAATTTTCGATTTTGCCAAAGATAGAGTTATGTTATGGGCAATGAAATATTTTAGTTTTCCTTTAGCTACGCTGTTTGTTCTGCGAGTTTGAAATTTATGCTGTCGGAAAGGCTTGCCTTTTGTTTTATCAATCTTGAATTTTATTGATGTTTAATGCAGATGAGTTTCAGCATAAGCTACTGTGGAAGTCATGGTCTTCCATCTTTTAGAATATCTAGCTGCAATATTGACCGACATAGCCGTCACGGTAAGTATATCAAGTTCTTTGGTTTCATTTTGCGCTTCCGTTTTGATAGTAACCTTTGCGTAGGCTATCTGTGTCTACGTAGCATTCAGCATAATTCGTAGTTCTTCTCTTCAGCAAGTTTAGTTCATGTCAATCTTCGGTTTGTTCTCAATGTCTTAGAAAGGCCTACAAATTTTCAGCTGGTGACATGGCCTGCCATACATATTATCAGTGTGATAGTTATTTTAATAATAAGTCCTATGCATACCTTTGCTCTTGATGGAGATTGGAGAAAAAAGAAATGTAGATGTCAGATCACACATGCGTCATTTATTTATTATCAGGTTCAGGGATACAAAATATATGCTTAGTATGACATTTTTAAATGCAAATAATACCTTCTATTTGCTTCCTGAATGACTTCTAAGACAGTACCCTCCCATTCATTCATTCTAGGAAAATCTGTTCTTCCCAGTAACACGCAGAAGAAACTTTCCAAGCCTGAGAATCTTTTCCCATCAAGTTTTAAGTTTGATAGCACCAGCTTAATGGCCGTGATAGGATCTGTGACAGGTAAAGGCTTTGATTTTTTGGTGGGTGTGGATTGTGGAGTGTGTTATCAATTGGTGTTGTTTGATTGTGATGACAAACAATTTTTTATTTCCATGCTTTTCAGTGGCCAATTTAATTGCACCGGTTGCTGCAAAGGCTGTAAGTATGAATAAATCTGTTCAAGATAATGCATGCATGCATGCATATAAAAAATTGCAGAAACATTTTAAAAGACTGTTAAACATCCATTCTACTATCTATTTTACAAAATAGACAAGTAAATTTTGCATAGTACATGACCAAACATGAAATTGGAGGGACTGCATCAGTTTTTCCCCCTCCTGGTTCCCTTTTGTGGGTATGGGTAAATCATTCACAATGAACCTTTAAGAATAGCTGCAATAGTTCAAATTTTCCTGTTATAAATTTAAAGCTGCTATTTGCATTAAATGTAAGTCTATTTTTGTTCTTTATAAACTTTACTAAGAAACTGGTCTGTCATTCTACATTCAAGTCATAGACATTATATACATCTCAGGAATCGTATTTATTTTCTTTCAAGTCAGGAAGTGGTTGATTCTGTTTATGCTTTGGCTGATGGAAGCTTGGGTGATTGGTTTGGAGGCTTGCTATATTCAGCTGGACAGCAGGCTAATGAAGCTGTTCTAGACCAACTAGCTTCTCTCAACTTCACCAGGTACTCCACAATGTATCCTATGCATCTTTATTATCTATTCCCCCCCTGACGATCTTATGCTTATGCTTATGGTTTCTTCTTTGCTGCTTATTCATATTCACAGTTTAGCAGTAATTTATGGGGCAGGGCTTGTTACCAGCCTTTCACCCTGTACACTAAGTGTCTTACCACTAACTCTTGGTTACATTGGTGAGTTTGCTTCTATTATGCACTTGAAATACTAATTATTTTCAAATGCCTAAATTTGTGAGTTGTAATCTGGCAGGGGCGTTTGGGTCTGGCAAAAGCAGGGCAGAGGTAATTATCTTAGGTAGTTTGTTTCTGCATTAAAAAAAAATTCATTCTTTTGTTCTTCTTATCTCACTTCACTGCCCAAGTTGAGTGTTGCTGTTCTTAAAAGGCTTTCACCAATAGTGACAACTACAAGTGTACCCAAGACTGTTGGCTTGTTCTTTGCATCATTTCCCTCCAGTTGTCTCAATTCCCCTTCATGATTGCACGGATGTGTGCAACAGACATATTTCTCACTAACAGTCAGGTCTTCTTGCTGACAGGTTATTGGTGATTCTGTGGCATTTTCTTTAGGTCTTGCTACCACATTAGCACTGTTGGGTGTAGCAGCATCATTTGCGGGAAAGGCTTATGGACAGATAGGCCAAGGACTACCTTTGGCCGCTTCTGGTTTGGCAATAATTATGGGTCTGAACCTTCTTGAGGTATCTTCTCTTCATTTTCACTTACATCTATCTGTTTCATTTTAATGGGTATGATAGGAAGGCCACTTAAAGATCAAAGGATCACTTAGAGAAGACATGAGTTGTTTTAATCTTGACTGCTCATGCAAGATCTAATCCTTAGAATTTGCTGCTCTAACACTCACGACTTGTTATAATTTGCTCTTGCACAATCTGTAAATCTTTTAAAGAATTTTTCTGGCTTAGACCTGTCTCGGCACAGTCTTGTGAGTTTATTGTTGAGAGAAATTTTGTACTCATAACTGTCATGATCAACATTATAGATTCTCAATATTTCGACAAAGTTTTGTCAGTCACCCTTAATACTGGGTTTGTTCTTTGGTACCCTTCAGATTTAGTTTGGCATGATTAATTTTATAAAGTGAGACAAATCCCTTGAAGTTGACCAACTTTGAAAATTTCTCTGTCTAATTGTTTTGCTCTATTTTTTGGTTGGCTCACCTTGAGCAAATTTTACAGATCATTGAATTAGGACTTCCCTCATTTTTTGACAATTTTGATCCACGTGCAGCAGCTGCCAATTTACCATCAAGTAAGTTGATAAATCTTACATTAAATTAGTTGCTTCAGTATCCATTTACATGCATGCTATATATGAAGAAATTATCTAATTTAGGTGTGCAAGCATATCTAGCTGGGCTTACTTTTGCTCTAGCTGCCTCACCCTGTAGCACACCTGTGCTGGCTACTATTCTGGGATATGTTGCTGCGTCAAAGGTATTCTCCATTTCTTTTGATTGGATTCATATTCTATTTACTATGGATGTTATGTTACCTTTTCTAATTGGGTGCCTCCCCCTCCAAATATAAGAGAGGGAATTCCACTCCCAGAAAAAATGCAGAAGAGTAGGGGAATCAGTTGATATTTCCCTTTAGGCCTCCTTCAGCACAAAAGATATTTAGTCGACTAAGCCTCTAGACCTTGCTTCAGCACTTCAATGAGTTAGTTTACCAGGGCCTAATATGTGAAGGAACTAAGTGTGACTACATTTTCATACAGGATTAAAAGGAACCAATGACCATCTTGTGGTACTTCTGCTTAATCAGTGCAGATAACTTAGAAATGACTTTCAAGTGCATTTATGCCATTGTTGACAAGGACAAATATGCATTACTCATGCAATTGTATTATATTAAGTATCCATGTTACTAGCTAATGCACATCAAGACTGAATTTTTTACTTGTTTATTTGCTTGAATTCCCAGTATACATATAGTCACTCCTATGAAAATGATCGGAACAATAATTTCTTGACAGGATCCAGTTATTGGAGGTAGCTTACTTTTGACATACACAACTGGTTATGTTTCTCCTTTACTCTTAGCTGCTTCTTTCGCTGGAGCATTACAGGTTCTTATATGAACTTTTGGTTTATAAAATAGTCTTAGGTAGCATTTTGTATGAAAGTATTCTCATATCTCAAGTACTTAGAAACCTATTTATATAAAACTTGAGCAAGAAAAATGTGAAAAAGAATTAATAATACTTCTATATGAGGACGTACGCAAGTATACAACACACAAACCTTAGTATTGTTGAATCTTGTGCGTATATACTTGGTAAATTAAGTCTGGAAGTACTTGGAAAGTCAAAATATCAATGTACAAAACAATACTTTAAGATCTGGTAGATCAGGATGTGCTGTAGAAAACTAATTTCTTATCCAAATGTGGATTGGCAGAGCCTGCTTTCATTCCGCAAGTTCTCAGCGTGGATCAATCCTATGAGGTAATATTTGAACTTCAAGTGTCAGAAACGGGAGAGAACTCATTATTTTGCCAGACCACTTTTATTGGGCTATCACAATCGTTATTATCTTGAGCTGTTTCTCACCCCTACTTTAGTTTTGTTGTTTCTGATGCATGTTTCAATTTTTTTCTTCCACAGTGGAGCACTACTGTTGGGAGGTGGTCTGTACACTTTCTTGGATAGGCTATTCCCAACAACAATGGTGATGTAGAATGAAGAGCTCTCAGGCCACAAATTCTCAATGGGTTTGGATTCTCTGGAATTTAAATACTTGATAGGAGAGTTTTGCTGCCCTCAGAGGATCCTAGGATACTTGGAATTTAAGTCATGTAGTTGAAATAGGGTAGACCCAGGATACTAGGCTGTCCGATGCAAGAAAAAAAAAAAAAAGTTTGTCTTTGGAGCAAGAGGGATAAATGGAAAAGAAAGAATTAGTTTAAAAAGAAAAGGTTTGAAAAAGTATCGTAGTCCGTACTATCACTCTATATCTCTCGTTTTAAAAACACATTAACTCAGGATTCTAATACTATGTTCTTTTACATGAACGATTTGATGTATATTCGTTCCATATATTCATTGTTATAGAAGTACACGGGACAGATTTATAGCATATCATATTATTTTTTCAGTTGAGATTTACTTCATTATAACATGCGAAAATTCAGTTACCAATGAACGAATGTGAACTGTGAACATTAAGATCCAGTTGTTGAATGTTTGTTATTAGGCTTAATAAAGTCAAAATAAATATGATCAATAGAGGTGAAGTTTAGTGAAAGAGATTAATTCCTTATAATTTGGTTAACCAATATCTGAATTCTTGCTGTAAGAGTTGTCCACACTTAGTGATCAATCATCCTTGAATATGAAACATACCTAAAAAAAAAAAAAGATTATAACGTGATGCTAAATCATAAAAAATTAGACATTGAGAAATAAGTCGTATTTTGTTATGGATTTTACATATTAATGTTCAAATGTTATGCTTTTAATAGAATATTTTGTTGCAATTAGTTTAAAACTTCACATAAATTTTCTCCTTCTACTTGATGGTGAAAGGAGAAAAACATCACATATATATATTGAAGTTTCCAGTATTTTCTAGCCAATTGAGATTTTTCAATTTTCATCCTCCAATCAATCAGTATGTTAATATAAAATATAAGTTCTTGGAAGTTGTAAATTAATATCAGATGGAGTTTATTTTTCAAATCCTGTACAATAGGTCTAATATCTAGTTTTATTGAAAAAGTAGATTCATTGAAAAAAAAATCTTAAAAGTGAATTTTGAAAAAGCACGGTCTTGGATTACATCTTGTGGACTTGTGGCTGTGTAAGCCTTTGGGACTACTGTTAATATGCTATAAGACGGCATTAACGATGTTTAGCCTGCAATTTATGAACGCAGTGAGTAGGGTTGCGCAAAAGTTTTTAATTCTGTTTGGTCCAGTTTAATTTGAGATGGTCTCAGTCTTGTTCGGTCTATATAGACACCAATCTTTCAGGACCAAAAAGATTGAAAAGACTAGACTATTTTTTCGGGTTGAACTGGATAAAAGACTAGGTATCCGGATCACTTGGTCCAGTTCAATCCTATTAATTTTTTTTATTATAATTATAATTAATTTATTTTTGACAAATGTTTGAAGTGTAATTGATGGTAAGGAGATGATTGTATAAAGATTTGTTGAGTTTGTTTCTAAATTGTTGTAATGTAGTGTTGTTAAATTTTATTGAGTGTTATTTTTGTTAAAGTTATAAATTTAAATCATTTGGACTATAATAGAAATATTTTTTTCTTATTATTGAAAATTATTATGGATTTATTATTATTATAAGTATTTTTACTATCTTAATTGAGTTTATTATGTTGAAATGGATTATTGCCTCTTATAAAATAAAAAGGAAAAAAAAAGCTAAGTGAGTATTGGACTGACAGGATCAGTTTCCCAGTCTTATGGACTAAGTCCGGTCTTGTTAATTTTTAGATTATCACTGAATAAGACTGAACTATGAGTTATTTAACTCAGTTCTTTTTATGAAAGAGATTCAATTTTAGGTTAAGATAAAATTCAATACCATCCTATTTTTTATGCAGCTCTGACAGCGAAGATAGTTTGTTTATGTGGTGTTGAGTTTGTCTCTTGATTTAAAGTTCCCACTTTGAACCAAACTGAGCTTGCTGGGTGTGGCACAATACAAAGTAGGCCTACTTTGAAATAAAGTAGGCATACCTTTTTTACCTGAAGACGACAGCAAGAGATAGGAGCCCGCTTTGCTCCTCCGCATAGTGGCTCCTCCACAAATTCTTCACATCCAGAAGTAAATTTGAACGATTTAAATTTAATTTTAATATTTTTATTTTTATTTTACATTATTAAAATAAAACATTTATAAAAATTATAAATAATATATTATAATAAATATGATCATCAATCAATAGTTTAGATTTATATTATGAAAACAAATATTTATAAAATAATTTAATAAACCTTTTTATTGTCAGTTTGAGCAATATTGATTTAATTAAGCAGTCTAATTTAATATTATAATTTTTTAATTTTTATAAATTGAATTTTGGTTATATAAATCTAGACTATCCAAATTGGTAATTTAATTTATTACAGTATCTTATTTATAATTTTTATAATTTTTTTATTTTAATGAATATAAAATAAAAATAAAAATAAAAAAGATTAAATCTGGACCACTCAAATTAATTTGGACAATCCAAATTTACTCATGGGTGTAGTGGAGCGGCGTAGGAGTGACTTTGTAGAGGAGCAAAGCTGACTCCCAAGAGAAAACCACGAGACCAGCCAAACATTCACGTAAATTTGAATCCATTAATGCTTTTTATGCGAGAAAAATGGTTCTTATGATGCCCACTAAATTGCCCCAAAAAACAAACAAAAATTAAAGGTTCATATGCATTTTTATCCTCAATTTTTTTTTAAGGAGCGTTGGATTTGTACTGATAAATAGAGTAATTTTTTGCTTGAAACATTTTTATTGGCATGTTAGTTATGATTTATTATGTTTATGATTTTACTTCTAACAAGGCAGCGTATAGGGAGTATTAAATTTGGCAGTGCAATATTTTAGATGAAAATCATTAATTGATCAAAAAAATTACATAGAATGATATAAAAAATTTAAGAAACTTAATTAATATTAAAAATACAATCGGTATATAAAATATTACAAATAAGCTATAAATTCTTGAAAAATTAGTTTGAGCTTTTTAATATTTAAAAATAATTTATAAATTTTGAATGAATATTTATAAATAATAATATTTTAAATTATTAAATATTAAAATGTTTATATATTGTAACAATATTTATTAAATCTTATTTTAACAAGATTTCATAATAGCCACTGCTCCTAAAAAAGAGTGCACGAGTAAATTAATACCAAATGAGTAAATGATATTGTCAGAGTCTTATTTATCACTACAGTGAGCGCCACGACAATAAAAAGCAGCAAAATTAACTGTTGATTAGCATAGTGCAAAGAGTTTTTTGATCGTCAAGAAGATAATTCAAGAAAAAATGCCTCAGTTATCAATATAAAATATCTATTGTTCCTAAAAAAAATTTAAAGATAAAGATATATTTTAACCCAAAGTTAAATTCATATATCCCTCTCAAAATCCTTCTGAATATGAGAATTTGATGCTGGAGACATGAAATATGCTTTTTATAGTATATGTTGCTAAAAATGATTTTTATATTACATATTGATGACATTGCAGTAAGAAAAACAAGAGGCAAATAAACAAAATATCAAGTATAGAATGAACCAAAAGATAATGTTTTGTAAATTGTAATTTCAATTTCCTTACTCGAGAAAACCAATATCCCAAAACGATGACCTTGTCTATCAACTTGAATATTGAAATTTGAAACTCGATGTGAGAGAAACAAACACTAAATTACAATCCTCCGTACTCATTACCTCCAAATAGTAGCATGGGTTGGTGCTAGTTCGGGAGAATAGCAAAATCAAGGAGGCATAGAAAAGAAAAAAGCCAAAACGACAACGTCTCAATGGGACCCACTATTGATCATCTCGCGGTACTGCCTCAACGACTCCTGCCTCTGTAACCTCATCTCCTGGTTAAACTTCCTGATGAAAGCCTCGACTCGCCGGTTCAACTCGTCCTGACTCAGGAATGGTTCCTTCCTCATCTTCCCGGATCCTGGCGATGGACTCGCCGACGACTTAATATTCTCCTTGCAGGCTCTGCTTCGCTCGCTGAACGTCTCCGACTTCTTCGTCAGTTTCGAATTCGGAGGGGTACATCCGTTTTGGTCCCTTAACGGCGTCGCGTTATGGTGGAGCTGGGAGTCCCACGTGTCGGACTTCTTCAGGTGCCTGGTTAACGGCTTCGCTACTCCCAACACCGCTTTTCCACCTGGACCACGATTGATGTTACCGTTATTTTTATTAGCCCAAAAAAAATTCATTCAAAAAAAAAGCCCAAAAAAAAAATTCTGACCGTTGTGTGTGCGTTTTTAATTTCAAACTTCAATGCTATATTTTGTTACTTTTAAGTATCGTTCGCCATTGTTTTGAATTTATTATTTTCTTCTGATAAAAATGTTAGAGAAAATATAGTTTTTTCTCTTCCCAACTTTTACTTAACTCAAGATAAAATTACCATTTTCTTCTATGCTATACGATTTTTATTTTTTTTTTTTCTACAGCAAATTTCAAAAGCAAGTTGCGGCATGCCACAGACACAGAGATATACCTTGGGGACTAGCCTTGGCAGCCTTCCGGTGGCCGAACCGAGCGGAAACGGGCGATTTCTCCTCGTCACTGAGAATCGACAAAGCCAACAAGTCCGTACACTGCAAGCTTGTCATTACAGAAATCGGTGCTTGGAAGGACTCCTCGTTCGTGATTTCTTCATCTCTCAGACTCATCTTCGTCTTCTCCGCATTCGAAATCCTCCCTTGCTGAACCTCCAGCGTCATATCCCGTACTTTCGAATCGTCACCGTAATCATCCGAAACGACGCAGTTGTAGGCAGCGTAGTTGGTCCGTATATCGCCGGTGATCATTTCCGGCTCAAGAACGTCTACGTCCTGCCGGTTGTAGATGGCATACTCCGAACTTATCTCCTCGGACATCTTGATCGGATCGGAGGGAAGAACGACCGGATGATCTTGCGAGTGAGCTTGATCATCGAGCTTGTGGTTCTGGAACTTGGAAGAGGCGGCGATGCTAATGATGATGAAGTTGACAAGAATGTAGAGGTAAGGAGGTCTTAACCATGTGAGGAAGAAGCTCCAAATATTAGGAACATCGGCGCCGATGAAATCCGAGACCAGAGGAACAGAGAACTTCAAAGCCACAGCCAAGGACAAAACACCAGTCGAGAGAAGTGCCACCTTAAGAGAGAGGACCGAGTTTGAGAAAGAAGCCATTGGTGACGGTTTTTCTTGGCGACTTTACCGTTGTGTCTCCGGTGGCTTCAGTACTGTTTGATGGCAGAATTTATTTATGGGAGCATTGAGGGAGAAAAGGAAATTTGGGATTGAAAGCGACAGAGCGGGTATAAATAAATGGCTGTGAGGGGGAAGGGGATAAACGGTGCGTTTAGTGTTAGATGTGGAGCGTTTGACGTGGACCCTTGAGGAGTTCATTTTCGAAAAGCGCGCAACGTGTGGGGGTTGGCATTTTTATTTGGGAAAATCACTCCAACGACCCTATTTCTGTTATCAAAAAATGTCATCAAATATATAAAATATTTTTAAATTTTAAATCTTATGTAATTACAATTTAATTAAAAAATAAAAACTTGATAAAAAATGATAATTTAACAAAAAAATGACAACTTAATATTTTTTTAATGTTAAATTATTATTTTTTACATTAAATATTAATTACATAAGATTTAAGATTTAGCAGTAATTTGTTCATCTATGAGATCTTAGGATAAAAAAAAAAATCTTTGTACCAGAGTTCTCGGTAATTTTTCCTTTTTATTTTCTGGTGCCTTGGTGGGGACTGAACTTTTGGTACGGTGTCGTTGGGGGGCGTTTGCAGAAAGGAAAATGAATACCGTGGTCCGTGAACGTCTCAATTAACTTTTTTTTAAACAATAGGAAAATGACAAGATGTCAAAATATGAATTTAACAATAAATTTTTTTTATTAAAAGATAATATATAAATATCCATTTAAATAATTTTAAATATAAAAATTTTAACTACAATAATTAGGAGTGATATATAAAATTTAAAAATTTAATTTGCAAGTGAAACTTATATTTATAAATGTATGAATTGATATTTATAACGTAATTGTTACCAAATCTTTTTAAAACTTGACTATTATTAAATGGATTATTTTTCTACCAAAAAAAAAATTGATTATTTAGGGCCTAAGTATCGTTCAGACAAATAAAAAAAGAAACACCACATTTAGAACTTTTTTTTAGAATCAAGTTATAAATTCCTAAAAATTATTTGTAAATTGCAAAAGGTGAGTTGTTATTTTTTTTCAAAAAAAAAAATCAGTTATAAATAAAAAGACAGATTCAATTTACTGAAAAGATAAGGGGTAGAGGTGGAAATCACGAAACGACAATCAAGACAGGACTGAAGTTTGGAAGCAGCAAGACCACTCCAAATCTGTCCTTCACAGTTTACGCGCACTTACTCATTGGATGCATTGAATCTCTTATTTAGAGGGGGTGTTTACAGTTTACAATCAACAACTTATTAGATCTGTGATCATGGAAACCAGAGAGCTCATTTAGGTGTGTTGATAACCTAACCAGAAATGCCCATGATGTGGATTTAGAAGTAGTTCTTATTAATGAAGAATGATATCCCGCCCGAGTGTGTTGATTTGCAAGGAAGATAAACGGGATTTAGTTTAGTGTTTTTTTTTTTTTTTTCAAGTGCTTTGTTGTAATTTCAAGCAGAACCTGGCCTATTAACAGTTCCATTTAATGTCAACTTAGGTGGCAGAGTGACATGAAATATTAAAGTTAAGAGTTCAAACTTATATTTGAAAACAAAAATATAATTTGTTTGAATGTTGAAACATGCAACCGCGTTAAATAAAAATATCAGAGATACCTGAAACTATTATTGATAAATACAATCCTAAACAGCAGGAGTCTGAATTAATCTAGACAAGTGATAATTATAGTCTCAAGTTTTCTAAAATATTGGGCAATAAAACCAAACAAGAAAATACTACCCTCATTTGGACCGAATTATACTCAAACATAATCCACATAACACCAGATATTAGATAATTAAATTAAAAATAATTTAGTAAATGAGTGAACAAAATAATCAATATACTAATTTCATTATTGTGAATACACATTCTACAAAAGAAGCGACCACTCAACACGAAAGAAAAAAACTGAACTATTCTCTATGAAGCGAACGCATTCCACAAATGGCTCCCAACCCAACAGAATCTTGAGGAAAAGAAAGAACTGCATTTTCATTTGATTTAAACTAATTCTATATTGATATATGGCACAAAGTTGACGGTGTCAAACAAAAGCCTAATCAATCAGTGTTTGGCAAACATCCCTTGCGTTAAAGAGGAGAAGTCATAGTCCTTAGGTGCCTGTGAGGAGGTTGATGACGCCATTGAAGCTGCTGGCGGAGCTTTACTCGCTCCCATCGTCGTCACACCATTAACTGGTCTAACCTGTCCCATTGTATAGAAACTGAAAAATCAAAAGAAAAGGAGAAGTTGGTCAACATAGGATCTGAATTGGGAACAATAAAAGGTTATGAATTGGCTGGAAAAATCAGAAACGAAGTCCTCAGTAAATTATAATGTACAGGGAGGTCGACAGAATATATGAAAACATGTGTTATATCCTTGCTAACCTATAATTCTACGAAATCCATGGGAAGCTTTTGCAGTAAGCGAACCAATTGGCTATCATTTGAAGGACGGAATGTTTTCCAGTTCAAAATCATATTCAAAGCAACGCAGGGACGGCAATATCGGCAGTTGATATGGTTTAAATTTTCTTCAGTAATGCTAATGCAACAGCCTCAAATATAAAGAGGATATCCATGATAAGAAGATGCTGTGTGAATTTTCTCTTTATGACAGGAAATAAAACCCCTAATTATTTTTTTACAGCAGTCATCAAGCAACAAGCATCTATAGAATATTTTTTAAAACTACACTTCCTTCTATTCAGTAATACTCAGATCAGAATAATTCTAAATTCCATAAAAAATATCATATAATATCCAATCCAAGCCAAATTCTTATGAGCGAGGCAAACTCCAACTCAAATGGCTAGAAGTAAACCAGCTAGTAACATACCTAGATATTGGATACTGCACAGAATTCAACGGCAGATGTGCTGGAGTCGTGCTCCTAGTCTAGTCCAGGAAAGAGAAATTTAGTTTCTGAACAGATAAGAATGGGCTAGCAATCAATTAACTCATGCTTCCTTATATCAGTACCTGCATAAGTTTCTGCAGCTCTCCCTGACCAGCCATCGGCAATGCTCCAGGAATTGGGTAACCAGCAGCTGGCCAACTTGGGACAGGAATATTGGATCCATTCAGTCCAAGTTGTTGTATACTATCAGGATACGTGGGGTTCCCTCCAGCAGAGTTGGCTGAAGCAGCCATTAGAAGGGACTGTCGCTGTGCAAGCATAGCAAGCTGCTGCTGGTGTGCAGAAAATGGAGAGACCATGTTGGACTGCAGATAACCGACTCACCATGTCAGGCAAAATCATACCCACAAAAAATTCAAAGATGCTGACAACAAAAATTTATCAATGTAACGTGCTGCTAGAGACAAAAAAGGACAACAAAGGTAAAATTACCTAACAATAACACTTCCATTTTACATTCTTTGATTAGGCTAAAAATACCATATAATAGAAGCACCGCAAGTAGCGCATACCTTTTCAAAGAGGTTCATGATATCATTTTTCAAATCTTTCAGTGGTTTTTCTGGAACTAAAGGAGTCACTGAAGGTGAATCCTTAAATAGATCCTCAATTCCAGAATTAGACTTGGGAGTGCTCTCTACTACTCTTGTGGAACCAGCCTTCTCAGTTGTCGATGCTTCTGCAGCGGCTGAAACAATTATTGTAAGCAATTACAACCTTCAATCAAACACAATATTTCACAATCACCAGAATAATCTTCTATCCAAATATACATGGATATGAAGACACCAGATTTTACTATTCTTCAAAATAGTATAAAAGGGAAAAAAAGCAAGACACTGATATGTATGACATACACTGAAAACCTTCCCAGTCACTATCGCCAGTAGTAGTACCAGCTTCCTCTGAGCCATTTTCACCTGGGCCATCCATGGATAACAAGTTGAAAAGGTCCGTCGCATAGTCAACTTTTGAAGGGGTATTCTGAGCCACATCCGTAGCCTGTTTAGTTGACTCAGTTTGCAGTTCTGGACCCACAGGTTCCACTTTCTCTACATGCTGAGGTTTCGCAGGAGATACCTGTTCATTGATTGGTTCTTATAAGCAACTACAGTTTTATACTTTTCAAATATGAATGGTATGGGAAGAAAGTGTCCTTAAAATAAAGGCTGGAATAATGTATCCTAGTTGCATATCGTTGAAGTTATTGCAGATATTTATGAGTGGAAAAAAAATTATCAAAAAAGGTGTTAAACGCTAATGTCTATCCGACCAATATTATCTTCCATCCATAACTATCATACTAAGTCTCAAGCAATAAAATTTTCCTACAAGGGATCCTCATATTACTTTTATTATCGTAGCCCTCAGACTCTCAGTTCCCAAAAAGGATAGACTTATCTTTTTCATATCAGATATAAGTAGTGGAGGAAATATTTATGACCTGCAGTATAAGCAGAATCATTTTGCAGACATTATAGAGTAAGCTCCCATAGATATACCGTGTACACAGCTTTAGTGGTGAGGCAGCATGTCAGGCATGCAAAAAGATACCACACAAGAAAATACAAGAAAATTTTAAAGATGTCTTTTAAGGAGTAGTGCTCACTCCAGCCATCCTATGTTCGTTCCTTGTTTTCCGTTGCAATAATTACTATGGGAACACCAACCACACTCAAAGCGTAATTTTATAAGGACAAAACCTAAATGAAGTTCCTTAGATGTGCGCCATTAGGTTCTCCGATAAAGATATAACATGTGAAGTCCCCCCCCCCCCAAATGACCAAACCGTATGGCGCCATGCTTCAAACAAAATATTCACTTGTCATGTTTCAATCAAATTATCCAATAATAAGCACTTAAATATTGAGCCTAAATCTCTCCGTTCTACATTATTTACTATGCCATGTCAGAATTTTATACATACTCAAGACAATTTATCACCAGACTGAGAAGAGACTTCAGAAATACAACCCCATAAGGAACACAACATAAGAAAAGGTGAACAGCCAAAATAGAAAAACAAACTAACATATAGAATAACAATGATATATACAAATGGATTATATACCTGTTCAGGTACTTTTGGAGGAGCAGGAACATTATTTCTTGTTGCAGGAATTGTATTTGTTGCCTGAATTTTCTTCTTTTCATGAAAAGTGTTCTCAGAAGCAGATGTAAAACCATGCCCACTTCTTTCGGCAGGCCTCTGCCAATTTGAAGAAGTCCTGTCTTCCTGCTCCCCAGAAGGTGATTTTAGTTTTCCATCCCTCGGAATCCATCTCTTCTCTTCATACCTTTTAAAACATGCAATAAGTAAAACACAAAGGGATAGTCATCTTCACAGGGTGCATGAAACAAATGAAACAGTAACAATATAACCCAAGGTGAACATACTTTGCACGAATAAAATTCTCGATTCCAACTCTATCATAATTTGGGGGTAGCTCTGCTTCCCAGTAAGAATTAGCTTTCTCATTTCCCATGGCTATATTACATAGCAAAGAAATAAAATATAATCAGCAAATAATATAACTAAAGCAAACTAATGAAATTACACTGTGAGCTAATTCATGACCAATCAGATTCCCATACATTGAATGAACGCAACCTGCTCTGGAAGCCAGGTGTCCAGAGTTGCAGACCGAACCTGCAGGAATAGCCACTACATAAATAACTGATATAATATTCATAATAGCAAGGCAATGTAGCGGATAGAAACTTTTAGGACTATTGTGTGAAATGAAATTAGAGCCAGATTTCACTCAGTCGCACCTCAAATTTAGTCAACATTGGTATTGATATTTCATTTTAAATGGCAATAGTATTAAACCCTTTGCAAGGTGAATAGTAGAAGCCAAGGTAGTATGCAACATTAATGTCATACATCGCATACTATACACTGCTCAATGGGGGGCTTATATAGGGTAGTTCTCCTGCATCAAGAACCAGCATTTGGAGGAGGGTTCCCCATCCACTTGGATGGCCCATGGCTACTGTTTGGCATCACAGCTAATGGTCTGTAGCTGTGTAAAGGGCAACCTGCAGAAAGTTCTAACTGGCTGAAGGCCAAATGAAGTGTTGCGAAGTATAGTCATCAAGATGTCTTTTTTTTTTTTTTTAGTGTGTGTGTGGGGGGGGGCATCTGCTACTGCATTCTGCTTAAAATGTGATTTTTTTGGGGGGAGCCCCAAAACACACCTGTCAACTTTCTAAGGATAACCACTTAAGAGGCCAAGGTAGTATAAAATGTTAAGTCCTATAACTGGTAGTATGAGCTGCTCAATGGAGTTCTTAAGCAAGGCGATTCTCCCATCCTAACAGCTAATTTTTATGGAAGGTTTCTGAATTAATTAGTGCTTATCAGAGAATCCAAAAAAAGAATATTACAGATTTTCAAGTTAAAAATTAACCTACACAAGCCCTTACAGAACACAGCTATAAGCATTAACGAGAGCTCATTCTTACCGGATATCTAGCAATAAACTGAGGAATGAATGCCCTAACAATAGCATTGGCATGGAAAGAATGGACATATAGATATTACATACATAAATATATACAAATATTATGGCTGCATACATATTTACAGATTGAAAATCAAAACTACTTACTAACATCAATGTTGCAGTACTCTATATAGAAACCTATAAGTTTTTGGATATTGAGTGTTCGAATAAGTATAAAACATTCTAATTGTCCATCAATAAGAGTTACATAGTCCAAGCACTCAAGTCTATTGCCAGCATTACAATTTTCTGTGACACATACAGAGTGTAGACAATGAGCTCCTAGCATGTTATCAGCATATTACGTTTAAAGATCCTATTTCAACATGAGTCTCCATAATAGTCTACTTATATGGTATCATATAAATTGAGACATCATTATAATCAACATAACATACCTTTGAAATATGAACCCCAAGACTTCGATGTATTCCTGAACACTGCATGCAGATAAAGATGCCTAGGTTCACACTTGCCCATCTTGGACCTCTGCAAAGCAAATTTTCATAGAAAATCGAGTGAAAATCTCTGAACCAATATAAATATACTGCAAATGCTCAATAAAGACAGTCCACTTTGATAAACCAATTAGTATCTCTTCCTCAGCTTTCCTACTATCAAAAGAGATTCATATCAGATCATCATTTCAAACCAGACACATACTTAGCTTTGCAATCGGCACATTCCCTATTTTCTGGCAGTTTAAGAAGTCCTTCCAATATCTGCATATATCAGTAAGAGAAGAGAAAGGAGAAATGTAATCAAAAGAGACAAGGATAAAAGAGAAAATAAAAAATTCTAAATGCAAAGCAAAAGAAAAGCTTTGAATTAAATGTCATCTGTAGAAAATAAAAATAAAGGATCTTGAATATCATTTGCACACACATGCCATGAAGATTTTAGACACTTTCTGCTTGAAAGCTCTCTTCCAATTAATGGACATAAAACCAAATACGCATGCATCTGATGAAAGAATTAAGTCTTTAACAATTTGGTCTCTCTAGAACCCCCAAAAAAAAAACAGAGTAAAAAAAATCATGGTCCAACTTAGGTTCCCCTAATGTTTTTTCCGTCCCTTCCATTAATTCATAGGACTGTAAACCCTTACCAAGGGTTCAAGTCTCATCTAAATTAGAAACTTAAAGAATTATTCATATAATTTTGGAAAAACCGTATAAAATGACAAAGAAAAGATGAATGAATCAATGAGGAAAAGAGAACAAAGATTGAAAATTTTAGAAAGAAATCATTTGAGACAGCAATTTTGAAGACATCTAGAGAAAAGAATATGATTAACCATGCTTTGAATAGCTGCTTAGTCCACTGAGCATGGAGTAATGCGCAACCCCCCGGGGGGGGGGGTTGGGAAATCCACAAAACAGAGAGATAGGATATCAATCACTATCTAGATAGAGGATTCACACCACTAAATAACACGTCCTGATCAAGTCTCAAGCATAACCCGAATAATTCATCCCCGATTGGCCAAAAATAAATAATAACTAATCCCCGAAATGTTAAGAATCAAGACACTAAGACAACTCATTCTGCTAATACATCACAAAAAAGGCAGATCAAACTCTCATAAAGCCATATGCAGCAGCTAGCCCAGTTTGCTTGCAGCAAGAGCCCAAAAATAAGATTAACAGCTAATTATGTACGACACACCGTCGCGGAAAACAAAAATCCAACTCTAAGCTTCCATTTTCTTCATATAAGCACAAGACTATGATCATTTTCAAATCCAAAAATTTACGATCGGTGATATGTGAAGATGGGTCTGGAAAATTAACATTGCAAAAGACAATTAAACGAACTAAAAGAACACAGAATGCTTGAAAAAGAAAAACCAAAAAAACCTTTTATGCTTTGCGTTGAGCTCTTTAGAAACGTTGGCCTTCCCGTTCATGGTGACCGTCTGAACAAAAAAACTAACAACAATGAAGAAGAAAGGAGAACTAAATCAACAGAAGCGAGGGAGAGAGGAAGATGAAGATCGAAGGTCAAGTTGGTCTTTTTGCAGCAATTCTCTTTCCTCTCTCTGACTCGTCTTCTCTGATTAAAATGCCCACCCAAAAGAAAGAACGAAAGAGCGTCCGCAATGAAGACACCCTTCTTGACTCCGATAAGTCGATTATATGCGCGTAGCCTTTTCTGTTAATTTTTCTTAAATGAGTTAATAGTGATTAATTGATAGATAGATGTGACCGTGCATAATACGTTCAAAATTGATTCATCCCGTAGATGATTTATCAATAACGTAAGTAATATATTTTAAGGCAAAAAAAAATTACATGTTATATTTTTTAAATTAATTTTCATTTTATCCGATAATATTTCATAGATGACAGATATGTTTTTTTTTTAGTCTAGCAAAAAATTTTAAAGAAAAATAATAGTTAGATACTAAAAATTAATTAATCATAATTAGATTTAGTAAAATTTTAAAAATAAATTAAAAATGTCAATTTAAATACTTATAAATTAAAATGTACTACTATAGATAAAATGTTTAGGTTATAAATGTAATTCTTAAATTATAACTAAAATTTTTATTTTTAATTATTTAAATTGATGTTTACAATTAACATTTAAAAAAAACTTCGTAAAAACCTAATTATCATTCAATATTTTGGGGGCAAGCTATTTTTTTCAAGCATTTTAATAGTTACATTAAATTTTGATTAATTCTTGTCAAATAGGTTAGAAAAACCAAAGTTACATTGGATTATTTTTTTGACACATTTGTATGCATTCATAAATCATTTTTTGTTTGCTTTATTAAAAAAAGTCAATATGAGATATAAATTTTAAAAATTACTTCAAGTAGTTACAGGTTAAATTATTCACAAGTTATGAATAATTATCTTATTTTAAAAACTTTAAATTACTCTCTCTGTTAAAAAAGGTAAGGTATTTTTAATCGAATCTCACTCTCAATAAAATAGTTACTTACTTTTTAACTAACACTATCTTTTCATATTTACCTCTATTAAACACCTTACAGTAAATATAAAATCATTATTAATAGGGGTACTTTCAAAAAAAGGCAATGATTACATCTTTAAAGACTAAGATATTTTAAAGACTAAAAATACCTTATATTTTTAAATATTCAACTCTTTAAAAAATACCTTATATTTTTAAATAAAGAAGTATATAAAAGTCAAATCTCAAGCACTTATTTTAATGGACAAAAGTCCCCGTCACTAACAAGGTAGCTTGATCACCCCCTTTTATTCCCTTTAATTTTTGAACATCATTAGCACATTAGCTCATGTAGTATCCAAACATTCAATTTTCAAATAAACACATTTTAAAATATGATAAACACGCATTTTAGAAGTGACAACCTACGTATGTATCTATATATATATATATATATATTTATATTTATTTATTTATTATAAAGAAAAATCTGTTACGAGTGACCAACTTCTAATACATGAATGTTTTTGAAATAAAAAGAGGGTATTTTTGTCTGAAGAAGCCTGAATTAAAATATTAAAAGATAAATTAAAATATCCAAACGGGAAGCCTGAATTGATCATCATTGGCGATACATTGTCATTACCGAATCATTCTCTGACATTTTTTGTTGAAGGAACAAAAAGCAGGTTCTTTGCTTTTTTGAGATACGTTAATTATATTAAAGATCTATTTCTTATCAGAGAGGATGAGAGTTAAATCTCAAAACTTTTGATTAATAACAATTAAATTCCCAAGCAAAATTAAAAAAGAGAGTTATAAATATGATTTAAACAAATGTAAATTTAGAAGCTTAAAATTGTAAATACAACATTTATATTTCAAATGTAACTTTTAGATTATATATAAGATTCTTTTATAACTATTTAAATTGATATTCATAATTTATTTTTTAAAAAATTTTGTCAGAGGTATAATTGTTATTAATTTAATATTTTATAACTTAACCATTGTTTTCCCTTGTTATTATACATTTTGTTTCATCTACGGATCATAACTCACATGATTCATATTTCTCTATCTAGTTTCAATTATTTACTAAAAAAAATTCAATTATTACAGGCCTAATTTACATAATTATTCGTGGATCACTTAAAATGAGAACATTTATTTAAATTTAATAAAATACATTAGAATTTTTTATTCTATAATGGGAAGGTTATAGTATTTTTCCATTTTCTTTATTTCCTTCAAAATTCTTGATTAACAATGATTATAATTACTAATAGAAACAATTAACTTTAGCATCTGCCTTCCTGTAAGGCGTGATGAATGCTTGCACTAAGATATATTATATTTGTTGGTGGGATCCATATAAGAGATTTGGCCTCATCAATTATCATGATTTCATTCGAGAAAACGACACGTTTGCAAGGTTTTATATGGATGAAAAATGTTTCATGTAACTTGTTAACATAATATTTATAAATTTATAAATATAAATAAAGTGTAAGCCTGTGGTTACTTTATATAAGTTTAAAGTGAGTCATTCTATTCATTTATTTTTATACAGACTCGCTCTATTTAAATTAAATCTTATAATGATGTAGTTTATATATATTACTGTATATAATTTTTTATTATTATAAATTCACGTTTGTTTTTTCAAAAAATCTATGATAATAAGTTCTTATTCAACGTTATTTTTTTTCATTTTCTTTCTAAATAATTTAAAAACTTGCATGAAAAACTATGGTAACAATATATTCTAGTTTATAAAATAAGGATCAGATACGCAAGGAAGTTCCATTTTCTGGCGCATTTCAAAAAATAGTATATGTTTAATCTAGAGAGAAAACTGCTCACGACTCGATGATAAAATTTAATTAAAAAACAGTATACAAAATTTTCCAATTATATACATGAACTGTAAAAATAATCATTAATTGTAATATAATATATTATATTGATTAAGACAATATTTATTTTGATGAAAAAATATAAATACACAATAATTGTTGATTCTTGCCTACATTTGGTTGACTTTTCAAGATAATGTGATTGAAAAGAGGAAAAGGACATGTTGGCCAAAAAAAAAAAGAGGAGAAAGATGTGAAGCGGTCTCTGTTCTCAAGTATACGACAATGATTTTTTTCTTTTTTATTGTTCATATATATATTTTTTATCAAAGGCTAATCATGTTTAAGGTATAGTGAGACATTAAATATGAACATTTTGAAGATTTAAACATTGTCTTGTTATTTATTTTCAAGAATACAACAATGGTTTTTTTTTTTTTTTACTTTCCTCCAATGTTTAATTTTGAATGTTGCAAGGCAAATTTAAATGATGTATATGATGTTACAATAAAAATAGGGTAGTGTTATTGCAAGCTCGCAGCCGAAGCAGAAAAGGGTCTCCATTGTGACAAATGAATTGATTAAGTTGCGTGTGCAAATGCAACTATTGAACACAACCCTTGCAAGATTTGACGAAGTGGAAGCAAAAGGAAGCAGGTGGCTGAGCTTACACTCATCAATGGCGTCAGCTGTGGATGAGCAGCACACTTGAGAAAGGAAAGATGCGAATCTATTTCCCCACTTAATGCCAAGTGGGATGATATCAAATGTCACTAGAAGAAAAGCCCACGTGACTATGATGTAATATCCCAATTCGGGATACTTATTTCCTTTGTTTTTAAAGCTCAAATTAATTGAATTTAACGGTTTACTGTCTTGACGGAGTATATCTGGCATCTTGAATTTATTCCACATCTAATCAAGAGAACTTTAAATCTTTAACAAGGCTCAAATTAATTTGAATCGAGTTGAGCCGGGATCATTTTAAATAAAAATTCTATTACTAATATTACTCATTTTTAGAATTATTTACAGTCAAATTGTGAATATAAAGGTTCTGGTCCAATTCAATTGATTAGCTTTAAAATAATTATAAAAAAAGAATATTTATGAAGTTTTAACCATTAAGTCAAGACCATCACCCATGATGAGTGAACATGAGAGAGAAAGTATTTCCTAAATCTAAAAAAAGTGACAATCATAGAGCTTGAGCATCAAGCCAGGATCATCTATAAATAGAGAAGCTCTTTCTCAATAATGATCATCAGCATCAACAAACCATTAGTTTCAGACTCTGTATATGTAACTTTATTTTTTTTTATCATGTAGCTTAGTTTTTATTAATGCATCTCTGCTTTCCTACATCTACATTAGTGTTATTCACTTCGCATTCTCACATTCGGGTGAATTGTGGTAAGGAGCTCGGGTTTTCTGTGTTTGATTAGAAGTCAGTTTTTCTATCCTTTTAAGACCCCGCGTCTCTAGCACGTCTCACGATACCACACCTTAATTGTTTATTTTTTACTAATAGAAATCAAACTTGAGCAATTTGATTAGACTTATTTAATTTTATGTTCAAATAAAAATTCAACTTCAAAAAGTACAATACATGATAACTAATGTAAATAAAACAAGCACACAAAACAAACACATGGAGAGACTTTGGCATGTTGGTTACAACTCTCGGAAAATGAAGAAAAAAATCTTTTGACGAATTTTCAAAAGCTAAAATTTGTTTCGGTAATTTTTTTTATCTCAAAAAGTGCACTTGTAATATTTTTGAAAGTTCATTTGCTGAAAACTAATTTGATCTACTTTCCAAAAGTTTGTTTTTAATTTTTGAACAACTTTTTGTTAAATTTTAATGGTAAAAGTTGATCTGATTTGCTTTCCAAATAAATGTTAGTTTATTAGACCGATTTAAAAATGTATTTAAATTTAAATATAAATTCTGTTATAATATTTAATTTTTACCAAGTTGGTTTTTAGCAAATAAATTTTGATAAATCAACTTTCAACAAACTAAACTAAAGATACTGAGGCTAACGACAGGTACTCAAATGCAACCCTGATGGAACTTGGGCATTAAGACGGTGTTTTATGTTTAAGAATTACTGAATATGAATATTATTATATCCATAAATAAATTTAAACTTAATAACGCACATCTTAAATATGAACCAAATATTTATAAATTGAATCAATTTGTAGGGGCTAGGGGCCTTGTCAAGCACATGGTGCCTTCTTCTCCTAATTCACGCGAGTCTCTGGAACAGAAATACCACGCGCAATAATTGTCGATTCCGTTGTCCAGTTTCAATTAGT